CCCCAAAACCCCAAAACCCCAAAACCCCGCGATAGCTAATTTTAGCTTTAAAGACAAAATATCAAAGAAATCTTAAAATATAATCTATTTACAAAAGCAAATTTATATACTCCTTAGTTTTCACTTTTTTAATCTTTGAAACATTCCAGTGAAAATATTAGTCTCTGACTCGAACACTTCGGTCTCTTCCATTTCGTTTGCTTTCTTGTTTGGCAAGCCTTTCTTTACCTTCTTGCCCTTTTTGGCTTTGGAGTGATGATGAGCTCCAGTGGCATTACATTAAGGAGTTGCAGATTTTTTCTAGGTTATTAGAGCAAGTGATGTTCCAACAGAGAATTTTTACTGAATTTATATAGGTTCTATAATTACTTTGTTCTATGCCTTTTGCTATGGTGTTTTAGGAGTCTTTGGAGTTTCCAACAGATCTCTTTTCGTATGCTACATATCAGAATTATTGAACTTCTTGACTTTATCTTCCTCCTTTTTGCTTTGCACTCTAGCCTTACGCTTCATTCTTCTTAATCTCTTGTAAATGAAATATCCAACAGCAGCAACTCCAATCATTAAAACTCCCCCTGAAAATGCAAGTATAACTATGAGTGTGGCAGTATTAAGGCCATCTTCAGAATCAGTTTCCGTCTCAGTTGTGTTTTTAGGCTAGATTACCCAACTCTCGTTTACTCTATATTGAAAGCTCAATCTTGTATTTGTACCTGCGCTTTGAATTGGAATAATCATCAGATAGAGAGTTAAGTTCTGATTAAACTTGTAAGTTCTATTTACAGTAATATTATTATCAAGAGCTATTGCGGCAGTCTTAAAATTTCCTTGTGAATTAGCTGTTGAAACATATATGCTCAACCCAGTGATCTGCAGAAATTTAAGTTCAAGGGATGCTGTCTTATTGAAGTTTTAAATATTTTCCATTGCAATAGTATAAGAACAGACGTTTCCAGCACTGTAGCTGATATTCTTCAATACAACTGATTAAGCCTCAGTCCCTGAAGTATGAAGATATTTATCAAACACTCCACAAGTAGTTAGTGGAGTGGCTATACATTCAACGTACTCATTTTTCTTAAACAAGGTCCCAGATGAGCAGGTTTAGTTATAATCTGGCAAGTTTCGACATTCTACGGGGTTTCCACTTGGACAGCAGTAACCAGTTTCATTATTCCTGTTACAATAGAAGGCATCTGATCTTATACCCCAACATTCATGGCAGTTGTTTTAAGGGAAAACTGTCCATGAAAAGAATTAACTGTAGCAAATTTGAAAGCCAAATGATATTATAACAATTAGCCTCAGAGAATGAAAGTAACGAGAATAGTTTGATTTCATTTGTAAAATTTATAATCAAATTGAATAAAACTTATATAAATTAGCTTTTAAATCAACTTCATACTTTAGGCAATCAAAATAGGCAAATGATTCACTTTTTATTGTTAATATTCATACCATTCTTGGAGGGGTACCTGTTTGGAGAGTAGAAACTGCTGTTTTTATTCAGATTATCAAAATTACCTCCACCTACAGATTGGATAATATTCTAGACTGAGAGACCAGGGTTTAGCAAATGGAACTGCTCATTTTATGGTTACTGCTATTGCTACTGAAGAATCCTAGAGTTGTCGAACTTGCTGAACATCGAGAGTATGTCCTAGTTCATGAATGAGTCATTTCTATTGTTGCTGCTTCCATTGACAAAATAAGTCTTGCTGTGACTTAGATCGTTTGGATGACTTAAGTTTATTTGGTCCATAAAATTAGACATCTCGATATAGGAAGCTTGCTTTTAAACCATGTCAGCCATTGGGTTTGCTAAATTCATTTGTGATTAACTATGGTCTAGAATAAAGTTTGGATTGTTAATTGTTATGTTATTGATGATACTGGCGTTCCAAATCTAGGAGGGGTAGCCCAAGCCGGTGAAGCTGGTGTTCAAAGATTTGTTCGGACTGGTGTCGTAGATTCCTCCGAATTTGCGAGGAGTGATATTGCTATGTTGATAGGGATCTAACCTCTATCTCTTATTATCCTACAAATCTTCATTTGATAGACTATTTTGAATTAGTTGTATGCTTTGCTAGGGCTATTCTTGCAACTTTTCAAGCTGAGAGTGTAGTCTCTTCTTCTGCTTATTCCTTCTCTCGTCTCTTTCAATTAATTGTTTTCTTAGTTAGTCAACTCTATTGATCTCCTCTCCTAATTCATCAACCATCTTGTTAAAGTCTTTATTATGGTCATCATCATCGTCATCATTTATTTTTTCTACATACCTTTTCTTTTCATATATCTTTTTTAATTCGCAAAACTTAGCATTTAACACCTTAGGAGTTATCATAGATAGATCTGGTTCCTCTAATATAAGCCATTCAGTTGTGTATTTGCCCATGAAGTTTTGGAAATGTTTTCCAAGATAGGCTTTAATGGAGTCACATTCCTGAGGAGAGCTGAACTTCTCCTTCAAAAAGAAGGCGGTCATGAGTATTCTATACTAAATATTCTTCTAGGCGTCAGGCTTATTGATTATGTCCTTTAAATACTCTTGGGAGTTAAGGCAAGCCCACAATAAGATCTCAAACTCTCTCATCATCATTTACTAAAAATAGAATTGGTTACTAACTATTTGTTCTTATAAATTAAACCACAAAATGATTCAGTTTTGTTAGTTTTCTAATAGATACTTACCTTGCTAATCAATGCCATATTCTTGATGACAACGCTCTTGTTGATATCTTTATTAAGGTCAAACACTATATGGGTAAATGTTAGAGCAGATAGGTTACAGTAGTCGACTAGAGATTTCATAAGCATGACTTGCATCAAACTCATTCCATTAGCATAGTACTAGGAACTCAGTTTATCATAGAGTTTTTCGTCATTATCAATCTTTTCCTCTAAAGACTTATCATTGTTTGCTGAGTGGTCTCTAAGAGTAGTCATTAAGAAAGATTGAAATATATACTGATCTTAATGTGAGTTAATAAGAGCAACAAGCTAGGCACCTGAAAGCATTCGGATTAGAACAGAAACTTAATTTAGAATTTAATTATACAAAAATAGATGCCATTAAAATAATAATAATTCAATTTTAGATATAATGATAGTCAATGAATGATACTACTACATCTCTTTTACTATTAGTGTTTTATTCAATTACAAATCAAATATATCTAATTATTTTATCTTCCCTCACCTTAATAATATATTAAAACTTTTGCAAAATGTCATATATCGATAGCAAATTTGTTGACTACACAGACTGTGATCTAGACTCCTCTATATTTTACAGATCAATGGATGAGGAGGAAAACGGTAACAAGAACTAATTTATCTTAACCAGATGGATTATCGCAGCTTATATTGGAGTACTAGGCTTGATTGCATCTTTGTTAAGTATTTGCCAATTTAACCAATTCGTCAAGATATCCTCAGTTAAAAAGCTCATTAGGAGATCGGCAAGAAGACTTAGAAGATCTGCTAGGAGATTACTGAAGGGTAAGAAGGAATCAAAGAGAAATAAATATGAGAGCAACACTAAATTCATTACAGACAAGATGATGGGATACAGCAGCAGCAGTGGTAGCGACATCAGCTACGAGAGCTCCACAGAGTCTGGTGTCTACAAAAAATTGGCAGCATGAAGATAAAGTCAGGACTCTTGGTTTTAAGTAATACGAGTCTAAGCAGGAGTCATGTGATACCTGTGGATATCACCAGGTATTATACTTAACTAAACGCATTTCAAATTCAAATCAATTTATTTCCGTAATTTCTTATTTGCCATATTTTTAGATAATATTAGAGCCTCGGGGTTTTGGGGTTTTGGGGTTTTGGGGTTTTGGGG